TTGTCATTGGCTGAGAGATATGTCTCTTCAATCCGCGATGCGCAAAGTCAGTAACCAACGCGCAATATGTAATTTTCGGCGCAAAGCCTTGTCATTGGCTGAGAGATATGTCTCTTCAATCCGCGATGCGCAAAGTCAGTAACCAACGCGCAATATGTAATTTTCGGCGCGAAGTGTTATCATTGGTTAATAAGATATGTGCATTTGAATCAGCGGGGGGCTATATAAAGAGGACTTTGCCACGATTTAGGGAGGGACGCACTAAGTAATCGACACTAAAGTTAGACAACAGTTAGGGTAGCTAGCTAGGGACACGAAAGAGAGAGTAGTTAGATAGAATGCAAAAATTAGGATAAACGTGACTATTTTACCGGGGGAAAGGAGTGGGAGCTAGAGCGGATATAAACCCAGGGTGTATAACTTATATTGTATGTTACCTCCGCGAATGCGGACATGTTTTGTTCTGGAATAACAGGCTCTCTATAAGCCACCAAACGTATTCCCGGCTTGTGTAGTGTAAACAGGAATGATGATATAAAGCCAAACTTGTGTTGTAACCGGAATATTCTTTAATTACTCATACAGTGTAGATACATCGCACAAAGAGACACAAAACCACGCACACGCGCGTGGCACGCGCGTGCGCTTTCTCTCGCGACCAGAACCAGAATCCTCTCGACTCTTACATCTCTGTCATATATATCCCCCAAAAACTCCTACAAACATCCTGCACGCACATGTACCCGTTCTCCCAGACCGCATACTACCCCCATTTCACAATGACCCTAGAAACTGCCTAACCTAAAGACACGCTTATCCAATTCCCCCTAATACATCAATATAGCCGCAACAAGATGCGCGACGCTGTGTCTAGATAGACTATTGCTACAACAACCCCCGGTCCAGCCTCGCTGACTAATTCATGCAGCACGTGCAAAACACATGTTACATCATCTCCCTTTTCCCCAAAACGATGACTACCCTGTCATCTATTCAGCGTCCCCGCTGATCTACACTCCACCCTAAACCTAAACAATTCCAAAAAAAATACTACCCTAATACTTTCCTAACTCAACCCAACGAGAGAAACGTCTTTCTGTCCAATTAAACAACCCACAATCAATACACAAACATAACAACAATCAAAATACAATAAGAAAACACATATGTAGCATAAGGCTTCCTATATAAAACAAGTAACGATAAAGTTCGATCACAATTAACAAGTCAGAAACTCAACACATTTGGCAGTGAACATTTTGATATCACTGCAATTACTCTCACTCTTGCGTCTTTTTATGATGTAACGTACGTGGCGTATGCGTGTACCGACACGCATTACCGAAACCACGTTTCCAGCCATAAGCTCCCTTATATCAGGAGCCTGATTATATCCTCATAATCCCATTAACGCACACAGGGGCATTAATACACACAGCACCGATGTGGACCTGACAACCTTTGTCACTTCCACTCATCATACAGCCAACAAAAATAACGCAAAACTGATTTCATATTTTCGATGAAATGTTTTAGGCCTATCATCCTCTAAATATCAAACTCTAATTGAAGAATGTGTTTAGCAGTCCGACAATATAGTGTAAACGTACCGTTACGACAACTTTAAGAAAACGATCACAAATTTCTACATAAAGTTTAAATACGAAATCTATTTACTACCAAATTCTTAATGCTTATATACTCTCTTTCACCTATTATTGCCGACAGTTTCCTGTAAATTCCGTCCAAATCCTCTATGTGCAACACACGCTGCCGGCCGCGACCACCGGGAGCCTAAGTCGCGGCGACTGGCGCAGCCACACTGCAACGATCGACCGACCGTAACGACAAAGGCAGATGGGGTCGTTGTCGTATCAGGTACTACAGATATGTACCCGAGGTAGTTTTAGGTTGTTTAGTATTATGTTTATATTTTTATATAATTAGGAGGTAGTTTTAGGTTGTTTAGTATTATGTTTATATTTTTATATGAGGTATGTTTAGGGTTAGGGTTAGGGTTAGTGTTAGTGTTAGGGTTAGGGTACACTTCTGTAGTACAATTGTCTGGTACACTTT